GAATAATCATGGGCATAATAGAATTAAACCGTCGACTTTGACTTAACTTAGGAATTCATGTTATTCGGCATTGCTACACCCTTACCAAATCGTCTGGTCGGCTAGGACGGTTCTTCTTAAGAGCCAAGGACATTAACCACCACCTAGTAACCATACTTACAAACTCTAGAAAAATGGTAGATGATGTAATGGTTGCCATTTGAGGTAATTGGGAATTCGACGAAGGAGAAGATCGCCTGAATCATGTACTTAGGCAGAAGGGTGAACCAGGTGGCCGAGTAGTTATTTTGTCAGTTTATTTGTTAATTGTCTTTTCTTTTATAGGCTAACTACGTTTCTTCTTCGTGCATGCAACGACCTAATAAATCTCTCACTTCGACGGATGAAACCATTCTTGTTCAAGTGAAGACCATTCTTGACTTCGTTGGTTGCCTAAATCTCCAAAGATATGGACACGCCACCCACATTTTGCTAAGATACGATCCTTCATATTCATCATTCACAGCGGCCGACCACATAATGATTCCTAGAGGCGAACAACAACTCTCGGCTTTTGTATTCCCTAGCTTTGTCAAATTGAGAGATATTAGGGTTGAAGATTCATCAGCCAGTGAGCAAGGTAATGGAAACGGTGGCTAGGATGCCGAACAAGGTGTGGGACAAGAAGCCGAGCAGAACATTGGATAGGATGGTCTAAATGTAGAGCAAGATGTTGATTAAAAAGCTTGTTTGAATGTTGCTGCTAAACAAGACACCCATCAGGTCAAAGAGCAAGAATTAGATAGGGAGCTTGATATAGTTTTTGATCAAGTCGACTCTAGGAAAAGAGTTGAGGAGGTTAGCAACTCAAAGCTTGCAGCTTTTCCAGACTGAATAGATATCGAGGGTCCTCGAGAGAAAGATATCTTCGTTAATTTGAATAATTTGCCTAGGTCCAGGTCAGAGAAAATAGCGAGTGAGTCATTTTCTCTCGCTCAATTTGCCAAGAAAAAGAATGCTGAAAGAGTTGCAGCTAAAAAGGCATCTGCTTGTACCTCTAGCCGAGTAGTTGATACTTCAGTCGTCCAGACAGAAGGGGTCGCTGAGCAAGCTGTAATCGAAATATCGGCGCAACTACCACCGTCATTATCAATTGAAACCCTTTCGTTGGCGTCTATAGAAGTCGCCGATGCGATTGGCTCCAATCGTCCTGCCGAATCTTAGCAATTAACTGAGCAGAACTCGTAGGTATTGTGTGTGTGTGTGTGTGACAGAGAGAGAGAGAGAGAGAGAGAGAGAGAGAGAGAGAGATACATTGCAGCAATGGTGAACGTCAGAAAAATGAGAGAAAGCGCATAAGCTGTTCGAGAATAGCCATGGTATCGACGTTGGCAGCAGCAACAACCGAGACAGAGGAGGAGAAGAGAAAGGTCAAATCCCACAAACCAGATTGCAGCAATAACAAACAGGGGAGCACCAGTAAAAGCCACGGACTGCATTTAGAACTGAAAATATCTACACTAGGACACCTGTTATTTGACCCTCACTTCCAAAAGACAGAATTGCAATATCACTATAAATTTGTCAGAGGCTCACATACAGACTAACTGAAGGTGTAAATCCCAACAACAATTACACTACCCACTACGAGAAGAGGCTTAATAAGGATTCTCCTCAATTTTGCAACTGAACATAATCATGCCCTGAAACAAATGAGGCTTGGACTATGGAGTTACAATTGAAATAAAGAAAAACATTGATAAATTTTAAAAATTTTGTTCAGAATAAGAAGAGATGACAAGTACCAAAAAATAATTGATAATGTAATACCTCTATAGCACTTTTTCCTTTTAGTACTCGTTCTTTATCAATGCCCCAAGATAGGCATTCAGTATTTCTCCTTCCTTCACGATCTGTAAAAAATATATCTGGATTCTCTTTCCCAATCTCTATTGATTGTCCTTTCCATAGATTAGTTGAGATAAAAAGCAAAAAGGTTAATGAGTCCACATCTAAAAGAGAGATTTTTCAGGGGATTATCCAAAACCACACATAGACATGCAACATGCATAAGTGTAAACCCATCGTCATGAACTCTACCAAGAACAATAATTAGAACCAAAAGTTATTCATAGACAAATTCCTCTCCCTTTGCAACCAACTGCACAAAGCAAATAAAATAATACAAAATCCAGTGAACCAAAGTCCCCGAGTTTGTAGAATTTGACCAACTTTTCCATATAGAACTATGAGAAATTAATTAGAAGTCACAGGAAGATGGAAATCATATCCATCACAGAGCTAAACTATGGATGCTACTAAAGCTTTTAAAGCCAATGGATAGATGAAATTTGGGTGGGTGCCTATTATCCTTCATGGCATTTACAAAAATAAATATTCAGGCTTCCCAGCAACTTATTAGTTGGATCAGGACAATATCTAAGAAATCATTGGTGATTAGTTAAGGTTTTATCTGTGACAAATTTTTTGTCGCCAAGCCCATATGTGTGCTCGGGGAATCTTGTTAATGAGAATATATCATAACATCCAAAAAATCTGAAAAAAAATAATTGGTATACAGTTCAATTAAGCTTGTATGTGTGTGATGGTGTCGGATAACCTTTGTCGCTGAACATTGACATATACACATATCCACACGAAGATGCATGAACCCAAGGGAGATAACTTTTCTTTTTTTTTTTTTTATTTTTTTTTTTTTTTTTTTTTTTTTTTTTGCGCCGATGGTTCATCAGGAAAATGCTCTCATCTTGGATTTTTAATTGCTCAACAAAAATAAAAGCAAAACATCAATGAGACTTAAAAAAAACTTAGTCAAACAGAACAGAGATACATATTTTAGAGTATGACAATTCAGAATCTGAGTGAAAAAGCCTTTCTTTAAAGTTTCAACCAATGAATGATGCTCCACAATGCAAAATTGTTGGTCCTTGTAGGGACATACATAACAAGTGATATAAAGCACCAAAGAAATCATTTGAAACCGAACGAATAAGACAAACACTTAAAATTCAAAAAATAATCACTTACATTATTCATATGCTTCCTCGTGTCCTCCCCTAAAATGTTGATATGATCTAATGCAAGAATTGACCCAAGTGCAGTCACCAACAGCACTTTTAGGACTGGAATTGATGAGGCAATGAAGAGATCCAAAAGTGCCATCTCGAAATTATTATTATATCACAAATCTTAAAAATTAACTTCACCTCCTGTACATACACACACAAACACAAATTTCAGTTAAGTATATTGCAGAGAATATTGAGAATGAATGCCACCAAAAAGGCATTTATGATCTATTTCCAATTTTTTATTTATAAAATGTGAAAATTAAATATATACATGTACCAATTAGTTCGGTTTTAGGAGAATTTGATCAAATGATCAAAAATCTAAAATAAATATCAAATAAATGTAGTTGTTTTTTGCTAGCATGACCAATTCAAAAGTCCAAATCTTAGATTTAATTTAACATAGCAAAAAATATGATCAAATTTTCAGCACGTATTAATTCAACTAAACATTTCAAATACATATATATATACAAGTTCTCTTCCAATTGAGTATCAGTTGATCTACAAAATCATCAAACGTGTTTTGGCTACCTTAACCTCAATGCAAACGCCAAACTTAAAAACTTCACAAAATCGAAATTGAAAATCAATGTACCTTTTTCATGTGCATCATCAAGCCATTGCAAGTGTAGATCCCAACATCTTGAAGCTTCTTCACATCTGCGGCATTGATTCCATGAGCAATCACTGCAAAATCACATGGATACAAACAAAAGGAAATTATAAATTAAACTTCGATTAAGTTAAAACAGAGCACACGCCAATCCAATTTCTATACATGTAGAACCACAGAAATCCATTACCGATCATGACTATCGAACTTACAGTAAAGATATATAGATGAAAATTAAAAGCAGATCAGAAAAATATGTGAATCTCGGTATAAATCAAAGTTACTCAGCAATGAATGAACACACGCACACATAGATATATATATATATATATATATACATACGAAAATATAGCAAAAGGATTGATTCAAACCAAAGCTTCGTAGCTGAGAGAGAGTTAGATCAATCATGAGTTCAAATCACTACAAAATCTATACACAGGTATTTGAAATAGAAATAAATAAGAGAAGAATAGAATTAAATCAAAGCGATTCAATCAAATAGCAAGAGTTTAAACTCATTCAAATTGATTTCACACATAGGGCTAGAGTATAATACCATGAGATTACAGCTAAACACACACAGATTTCCACACACAGACACAGACACAAAGACTAGGCGAGTGGACGGTAATCGGCGCGAGTCATATCACGATCGACACAGAGCATCGCATAGAGAGCGTAAACTATTCCAGGAATGTAACCTAAGATCGTCAATACCAAGCATACGAAGAACTCTACCTGTAATCCACAATATATATACATATATAAATATACAAATATGTATGTATATATATATATATAGAGAGAGAGAGAGAGAGAGATTCATAGCACTAGAGTTACGACCATGGAGAGCAAAGAGAGCGAGAGAGACAGAGACTGCGAGAGACCTCTCTGTTTATCAATGTCGTGAAAATGACAGTGAAAGGGCTTAGGGCATAGTTGAGTATAACAAAAGGGCAAAATAAATTGGGGTCAGATCATTTCCAAAAATGTTTTCTTTTTGTGATGGCTAAATTGTGGGTCGCAAAAAACTAGACGCAAAAAGTCACTTTTTTAGTAGTGATTATTGTACTACAACAGTGACCCCTTTTCCTCTATCATATGAGTAGAGCTAGAGGAACTCATTACTATCATATATGTGGCTGGAATTCATGTAAGAGAAAAAATATGATTATTTAGTATTTATATATCTTGTTAAATAACTAATTCTTACCGCACAATATGATACCCTTATCATGGTTTTTGTTGATCCAATTCTTAATAAATAAATAAAAAGTAAAAGAAAAAAAGGAAAAAGACGGTCCTCCATATGGCATCTCATCGATACTATATGACATATGACAATGATCACATGTGAAACACAAAATATGTCTCTTTAGTACTAGATATGTTATTAAAAGATTAATTTTTAAATGATCGAACATTAGTGATAAAATAAAATAAAATAAAAATAGTGCAAATCATCAACAATATTTTTCTTTACAAGATGCTTCCTTGTCCTCATCCCTTTTTTACATATTTTTAGTTTTTTTTTTGTAAGTTTTCATCCTTCTTTAAAGTACTGTATTCTCATTGATTTGTATCACACACACAACCACCAACTAAAATATCAAGTAGTTTATAGAAAGTTGGCCACCATGTCTTTCTTAGAGTTTAGTCCCAAGGAGATTATGAGTTCAATTTCCCTTAGAGAGGCTGAATTAAGGGCATGCAAGTACTTAGCTTTGCCAAGAGTGAAAAGATTTTCTCTTATAGGTGCTTGAGAGGGAGCTTTTAAGTACATTAGGGCCGAGCTAGGCCCAGGCGTAGCGATGGGCCGTTTTATGGGCTAAGGTAAAAAGGTTTTAGCAAGTGGACCACGATCCAGGTATTAGCTCGGTCCAAATTGTGAAAAGGGTCTTGTAGTTAGCTTAGTCACCCCAGTCGGAGTGGTAATTAGCTCGGCTAGTGGCCCCGTTTGGTGTAGCTGTTAAAACAGCTTATAGATTATAGCTTAACAGATTATAGATTCTGACCTTAATCAGAAGTTGTTAATCTGTTTGGTGTAGCTGTTGGATTATAGATTTAAATTACTGAATAGTGTTTGTTAAATAAGTTGTGAAATAGCTTTTTCAATTAATTTTTATTTTTTGTTTGTCTACATTTCTCATAAAAAATAATAATAATAATCTGTAGTCCATTTGAGTCTTTTTCTATTTTTAAAAAATAAAAAATAAAAAAATTTAAGAGTGTAACCATAAATTAACATGTCCACAGCAGAAGCTAATAATCAGAAGTAAGGGGTGAGCAGCTTCTCAGAATCAGCTTTTTTGAGTTAAAATAAGCTGTTAGAATCAGAAGCTGTTTGAAAAAAGTTTAACCAAACAATCCAAAATAACTTTTTCAAAGCCTAAAGCCATAAGTTGGCTTTGAAAAGCTGAAACAAACACCCCTAGTGTTTGGAACTGAAGTATTATGGCTTCTTATGGTGGACCTTGCTCTGGTTTAGCGCAGTCAGTGCTTGCTGCAGTTAGCTTGGTCTCAACAGACACAACCGAGGTACAAGTGAACAAGAGCCGAGTTTTGAGTTACATGTGAAGGTATTGGTTTGGGTATGACAAAGAGGTATTGTTAGCTCGGTTACATTGTCATCCAACCATGGTAAAACCATCTCACTTGGTTTAAGCAGTGAAGGGGGTGTTGAATGATAAACATTATCTTTCAGGAGTGTGATTCCTAGGAGGACTCTACTTGGAGGAATAAGAGTCCTACAAGGATTGTGCTATGCAGAACCTATAAAAGCTCACAACATAACCTATGTAGAGGTAACTCAATTTTGATTCTCGGAATACATAGAGCTTTGTCTATTTGTCTATTTGGCTGACTTAGGCATCGGAGAGATATCTGATACACACCCGCCGGCTAGCTCACGTTTGTGTTTTCAAGGAGTAAAGCGACGACGTTTGGAGGAGCGCAAACTTGATCAACAGGATCATACGAGAAGAATTATTTCGTACTCGTACAATTGGCGCCATCTGTGGGAATTCTAGAAAGAACAAAACCTCTTGATCAAGTTTTCCTTGGTAGTTGGAAGCAACGGCGCACAATAAAGACTTGCCGCAATCAGCCATTGATGGGAAAACCCCAGAGGGGGGTGGGAGGCGTGAAGGTTTGCCTTCTATCCCTCCCATAACGGACTTAGAACCCCAACGACAGAACCCCCGGAGGGATGCAAGAGGGAGGCGGGCTAACAGCCCCCGTCGCTCTCAAAGTCTTGAAAGACAGAGGCGGAGGATGGACCCTTGTAGACACCCCATTTTTAATCGTCCTCAAGACTGGGACGTCACCGTTTGAACACTCGGTGATCATCCATGTTTGTGTTCGTCTTGAGTTCCCGGAGGTCTCAGCTTGCGCGCCTTGCCTCAAGATCTCTCGACTCGACTGTTTAGTGTCTGGTTCTGCACCAAACACTTGTGTTTTTCCTTGGAGGGGCAGGGAATGCCTTGTGAGGCATCCCCACACATCACCGGCCCTGGCCAGAAGCCACCGGCTGGTGTTTTGTTGCCATCGGCAATGTATATTGCCGGTTGGCATTCTCTGTTGCCAGTCGGCAGCCCATTTTGTCAAGATGGCAATTTTAAGCAGCCGACTACTGTTCATCTGCTTTTACAGATATTTTAATACAGCTGTATGGCATTTTGTTCCCCTCCATACACGTGTATGGAGGGATGGCTTCCTTGTAAGGTTGTCTTATAAGCTTTACAAGATTGGTTTCCCTATAAGAGGAGCCCTCCTCTCTTGGCTTCAGGGTTGGACAAAAAGGTTAGAAAATATACAGAGGAGAGCTCTGGATTAGGGTTAGGGTTTGTGTCTCACCTATCTCTATTTCTCTCTTTCTTTTCACCTTTGTGTGCGTATAAGTGCATTTGTGTCTTACTATTGCACACAAACACATAGTGTTACACCTTCCCTTGGCTACTGAGGTTCTAAGAGGTTGTTCTTGAGGTTCTTGGGTGGTTTTGAGCTTGGAGGAACAGCTAGTCCACCATTGTTGAAGAGGTCTTCAAGGCTAACAATCTTACCCCTTTTTACCCCTTTCTTGCATTGCATTTTTGCCTATCTTAGAACTATTTTTCGAGCTTAGTGTATAATATAAAAAAGTTCTGTTTTTAGGCTCTCTATATAGTTTGTTTATAGTGTTTTGTGGTTTGGAGGTGTTTGACCCCTCTTAGGCCTTGAGAGGCCCCATTTTGTGCTATTTTGAGTGAGCTCCGGGACCTTGGTGTTTGGGCCTCCTCACCACTGAAATCTTGAGGGATTTCAGAGGTGAGGATGGTGCCTTGAGGACCTAGGGAGGAGAGGGCCACCCCCTCTCCTTGTTGTCCTTGAAATAGACCATTTTTGGCCTCTTGAGGGAGCACCTAGCTAAGCTTCATGTTTACCATGTCTTAGCTGATTTTCATGCTTATTATGTCATAATATGCTTCTATTTTTAATTGGTTTTGGTACATCATGCTTGCTTAGCATACATGCCTTGTAATGCCATTTTGTTGCCATAATATGCCTTAGGTTGTAAGCCCTTGTTCTAGCATATTTTAGGCCTAGCTTTGTGAAGCTTTAGTGCATGTTTTTGTATGCTTTAGCTCTGTTTTAAATTGCTTGAGTCATACTTGCTATGTATTGCATAGCTCCTTTGCATTTTTGGTTTGTTAGCCTTAAGTTTTGGACCATGTTGCATGCTTAGCCTATCTTGTTTGCTTGGTTTGGCACCATCTTAACATGATTCCAGAGCTTACATTGCATGTCATTAGTCCATGCTTAGCCTCTTTTAAATGTGCTTGAAAGTTGCCTTTGTTTGCTTAAGTATAGGCCCATTAACATGTGCATGTGTGCAAGTGTGTTTGGTCCCATTCCTTAAGTTTTTGGCCACTGTTTTAGGCCTAGTTAGAGTTGCCTAATTTAGTTTAAGTCCATCCCTTTGTTTGTTGCATGCTCTCCTTGTATGTTGTAGCATATTGGTGAGTTATTGCATGTTTGAAATCACATGATTGAATGAAGTCACATGTTGGCTTACATGCTTGAATGCCTACACTAGCCTTGCACACTTGTTAGTCGCATTGCTCTATGCCTTGCATTTCTTGCATGCTCATTTGCATTGTCGTATTGCATGCCTAGTTAACATGCTTAGGTTGCATTGAACATGCATGCCTTGTCCCTTGATTTAGTGATAGGGATTGGGCCTCTTTGGTTTGTTGGTTTGCATTGCACTTGACATCAAAATGTGCACACTTGGTCCCTTGGGCCATCACGCATTGAAATGCGCGATTGATGGTCCGAGAACCAAGAACCATACCCCTTTGAGTCATACACATGATAAGGGATAGGATTGGTGCATACATTGCTTGAATTGCATTGCCATGCTA